GTCTCTCAGTAAACCTGCGGCTTCTGCAGGCGAGCCCGACACAACGGGGTTTTATGCATCCCTTTGATCCGTTTTTATTTTTTTTTTCCCCCCCTGTAAGAAGAAATGTGTGCAGCAGAACGTGCTAACAAGCCATGGATTATTATAAACCACCCCGGCCAGTTGCTGGCTGTTCCAGACGCCGACCACGCTCTTTACTTCCCTCCCATCCCTGATTTGAGCTTGCCGAGCAAAACCCACGCGCTGGGAGAACTTGGGGTGATTTTAAACACAGACTGAGACGAGGGGAGACGCCAAAGCAAACAGGAGGAATTTAGGGTGAGGTCGCACGGTGTTTTAGGGCCAGGCAGGACATTAACCCGCGGTAAGAAGGTGACGACCAGGCTCATCACACAACGCAACACGTTGGGGAAAGGAACACCAACCCCAACCCCAAAACTAATTGTAGTTATTTGTTCATCTTTTTCCCCAAATTCTAGAGCAGCCAGGCAAAAAGAAATCATCAGGCGACAGCTGTGGGGAGCAGGATGAACAGAAAGAAGGAGAAAGATGAGAAAAACCAGACCGCAACAGCAGGTGGATGGGTTGGCTGGAAACCTTCTGTGAAATACGTATAAACAGGGATATGGATAAAAAAAGTACAGAGAGAGGCAAGACAGGTAGTTTGTAAGGGAGGCGATCGCTCTCCCTCTATCCCAGCCAGTCCCTCTTGACCTTGCTCGTCCTTCTCCATCAGTCCCGCGCCGGGTACGGCCAATTCCTGTCTTCATAAAACTTCTTCAGGCCCTGGAGGTTGACGGGGGGGAAGTAAGGGCCGATCCTCTTCCGAATCCACCACCTCCCCTCGCTGGCGTGCTTGCCCCCGGGTTGGCTGAATTTGTACTTGAAGTGTTCCCCTCGGACCCACCTGCAGAGAAACAAAGCACAGCCTGCTCAGGAGGGGCTGAGGAAAGGCGTCAGACCCTCTTTACGCTCCCCTGGGAGCGGAGTTTTTGAGCCTTTCCGTAGCTGGAGGGAGAAATCAGCTCCAGGTTTGCTCAGCTGAGCTGGCTCCTGCATCCCGGCAGAATTTCAGAACGATGCACAAGGCAGAGGAGCTTTAACACCCCCGTCATGCACTCCCCGCTGCTGCCACACGCTCTGCAACCAAGTTTGAAAAAAATAATAATAAAAGCAGGAAAATTTTCTTTTTTTTTTTTTTGAGAGCAGCTATAGAATATTTCTGCCCAGGACAATTTTAGAGCCTCACTCCTGCCCCAGCATCCCTCTGCCCCAGCCAGCGGCTGCTCCTTCTGCTCCGCAGCTTATTAGCGGGGCTGTGAGCGCATCTGTTTTCTGGCCGCCCTGGGAGTTGACAGAAAAGGAGATTTTAAAACAGTGCAGAAAGAAGCATTCATCGGTGTCGCGAAACACATTCGGAGGCTAACCATGCCGCTCGGTTCGGGAGGTTTGGTCCCGCTTGATGTAGGGCATGCTGACAAGAGAAGGAGTAACACCCCGGTCCTCCAGCGTCGCGGTCCCTGTTTGCGGAGTGCATCGCCGCGTTTGCTGGATAAGTTCATAAAATAACCCACAATATAAAAATGTCAAAGTCATGTCAATGCTCATTTAAACCTGCTTTGCTTCACTACTAAAATACAAACCCTGCTACTGAGCGGGGCACCAGGCTCTCGCAGCTGCTCGCTCCCGGGGCTGTGCCTCGGGCAGCCGTAAAGTTCCTTCCTACTGCTAAAATAATTAGGGACGGCTCCTATACATTTGCCATTAGCGCTCACCTTTGCGACACCGGCACGCCAACGGGTTGCAGACGGCGGATAAAAGCTGCACCTGATTAAAAGGTCGCTGCAATCCCACCCCAACACCTCAGCTGCAACGTGGCAACGATTCTCCTAACAAAACAATTCTCCTAATGAAACGATTCTCCTAACGAAATGCATCGACGCCGAGCTGTTCCGCGCACCCATTGCTCGCTGCGACCGGCAGCATCATCTGTTTTCTGATCGTCTCCTGGGTGGGATGAAAACAGGACAAACATTCCCGTGTTTCCTCCTCCACTGAGGACGACGCGGGGATCCAAGGAAGCCCAGAGCGGTGCGTTCGGAGCTGCGCTAGGACAGCTCTGATTTAAGGCTGGTAAATTGAGGCTGGTAAAAGTCAAACGGGGGCTGAAGCGTTACTCCCATGGTGTTTACTTCGCAGAAGCACAAAATTTCCTGTTAATAATTAGAGCATTACTGAATGGCAGCATTCGCGCGGGGTTGGGGCACCCACAGGCTACTCTCTGGGATGGTCGAAGGCTCCCAAGCTGTGCTGCTTGACTGCTTTCTTGCATTGAAAAAACATATCCACCTCCCCAAAAGGCTTCAGTGGCTCATTTTATGTCAGCCCCTCTCCTGCTTGAAGCCCTCCTCCACCTGCCACACTGAGGCTTTCAGGGTTTCTCTTCACCAAGGGACTGCAGAGCGTCTGCCAGGCTGAACCTGTGCCCACGTACCCCCCACAACACGGGTGCCCCAAGCTGAAGGAGCTCTCTGCAAGCCCCATCCTGCAAATTTCTCCCTTTCTAGACAGGATGAAGAGCACAGAGAGCAGCTGACTCATCCGATTTCCTAGGGCAGGCCTAGGAGACCTCAGGAGATGCCAGGTCTCTGCTCAGACACAGAAGCACCCTCTCCTCAGCCTTAAGGACTGTCCTATAACCCCTCTGGAATGAAAATTTCCTTGTCCCTTTTGACTGGGCTTGCTTGCTCAGATTAAATAATATCTATCATCTGATTCACTATGATTTCTCCCATATGCTCTCTGTCTACTAAAATATTTGCTATCATGTAAAACTAGAACTGTGTGAGCATTAAAGAGACCACATGCAACTCAAGATGCATTCTTGTGGCATCTAACTTGCCTTTCTAACTGACTATGTTTCATGCTCTTCTGTTCAGAGCCTAAATCAATCTGAAGAGCCCCCCCAAGCCCCCTGACCTCTAAATTCAGCCACGGTCTCTCTGCTTCCCCCAACCCATTCCACCTGAGCCGTGAGCGGAGCGTTCGGATGTGTGGTCCTCGTCAGGATGATGCATTCACGAGGAGGAACCTGCACAGCTCCATGGGCTGTGGAGTTTGTAAACTCCGTGGAGCTCTTCTAGATGTTGAACCACTCCCCCAGGGATGAGCTACAAAGCTCCAGCACGTCACAGCTGTCCTGCACCACCGGCTACTCAAGACTTAAAGGTTTCCATTCTGGAAACTAAAGAGCCTTTAACAGCCAACATGGAGAAACTGCAGCGGGAATCCCTCCGAGCATGAGAAAACCTCTGAGCATCAAAACACGGCAGCATCCAGACCCTCTGCCATCCATCCTCTCCAATCTTCCCAGGGCCAGGGGCTGTGGGAGAAACATAAAAGACTTGGAACCCGTTGGAATCTGTCCTGGCAAGGCTCACCGATGTAAAAGCCGCAGGGTTTAATACCCACCGGAGCCCCTCGTTTCAGGGCTCATAGAGTTTACAAGCTAGCCCAGTATTTATAATCTACCTGGGTGCCTCGGTCCTGGAGTCACAGGATTTGCAAACTCCTCCAGTGCTGCCCTCACCGTACCTGCTCCCTCCTCTCAGGATTTGGGGAGGGAAGTGCTCCTGCACTAGAAGGGCCGTTGTTTCAGGGCTCACAGAGTTTACAAGCATCACCTGGACAGCTTGCAATTCAGGTGAGATGCACACAGGTGTGGCTGCCTGCAGATGAAGAAACTGCTCCAAGCTACAGATCACCTTATCAGCAACTGCTTGTGATTTTTTGCAGCTTTGGGGCTCGGACTAAGACTTTCTGGCCAGTGGAAGGGACCTGCAGGTTCTCGGAGCCCTCTCTGAGGCAGGAAACTGCTGGCAGGCGTGAATCTCACCGGCTGCTCGGCAGAAATGGGAACGCCTTCAGGAAGGTCATGGGGAAGCTGCCTGAGTTCGTCGACATTAAAAGGAGACGAACGCCACGGTGGCCACTCGTACTCGGAGAAGGATGTGCAAGACTTGTGCTTCGGAGGAGACAGTCGGAAAGGAAGGACAGTCCTGGCTGCAAGTGGATTTTCTGAGTGAACGCAAGCCAGCAGCTCCTCCTGGCTTCCCGGCAAGCACCAGGCACCAGCTATGGCAGCCGGGTGGGGAAACGGCTCAGGAGGAGGCTGAACCAGCTGAGCCCAGCTTAGGTCCCTCAGGAGACACAGGAGGGCAAAAAAACCACTTGAGAAGCCAGAAACAAGATACGGTCTGACAAAGCAAGTCAGACATTCCTCCTCCAGGAGATGGAAACCCCTCTCTGCTATGACAACAACAGGGATGTGGGACAAGGGACAGAGAAGCCCCTTTGGCAGCTTCTCCCGAGCCCAGCGGCGGGGGCCGGGGGGTGCTGGCAGAGCGACGGTGCTGATCCCGGTGTGGACGGCTGGAAGAGAGAGGACTCGTCAATGGTTGGACTCGATCTTTTCCAATCTGGGCAATTCTGCGATTCCTGAGCAGCCCCAAAGGATCCGCACGGGATGCCAGGACTCGCCTGCCACCACCCACTGTCCATCACCACCCGGACCGGGCACATCTACTGCCTCATGGAGGGCAGAAAAGCTAAAAGTAATAAGCATTATTTTTTAAAATCAATATATTCATCCCGCCAGATGCCCGGTAGCAGCTGCGCTGTAGCGCTTTCAAGACTCGATCATATATCAGCCTATTATGACATCTTCCAACTGTACGTGTTAAAAATTAGCAGCAATATCGGAGTTGTTGGGACGGAGGTCTAAATCTCCCCGACAGCTGTAATTAGTTCCAGAGGGTGCAGCTGTCTCCCTGCAACAGCTGAGGGGTCCGAGGGAAAAAATCAGAGCCGGTGGTTTCTGTTAGAATTAATGGCCTGACAGGGCAAGGAGAGGGGAGAAAGAAACCAAAACACGGGGCGTCTTTTCGATTTGGTGTTGTGTGTTTTCTTTTTTTTTCCTTGGTGTGTTTTTTTCTTTTTATCTCGAGGTTCCCCACTCCATTGTAAATCAGGGAGCAAGTGGCAGTGGAAAGTACAAATTCATTACGGTAACAGAGCCTCCATCATCGGCTTTCTTGCTTATTCTAGCCCTGTTAGCAGGAAGCATCATAAATTCATCTTGGCCCAAGTTTGCAGAATAAGGGCAGTTTTATGGGTTGTTTTTCAATGCCGCTGACTTCTCTTTCTCCAAGGCTCCTGCAAGGTCTGGTCCAGGAGCTGGAGCATCCCACGGGCAGTTCATCCTCAAAACTCTCTTGGGAGATGCTCAAGTGGAGCTTTCCCCTCCAAGGACAGGTTATAAAGGGATGCTCAGAGGATGTATTGATACTGAGCAAACCTTGAGGGGAGGAAATCCGGCTCTCCCCAGGGCTCACAGCTGGGATTCCTTCCGGCACGGACAGACCCACGGACAGTCTCCATGACAGGGACGCAGCCGATGCTCCCGATGAAGCCAAGGTAGGAGCTGCCCTTGCCCTGCCCTCCCTGACAAAGCTGGTTGTTACCAAAAGAAAATCCCTTAAACTTCAACTCAGGAGAGTGGAATCAACTCATTCTGTTAATATCAGACATTAAAATGATGCTGAAGTCCAGATTTTCTTTTAAATTACATTACACAGGGAAAGAAGAAACAAACCGCAGCAAAACATTTCACCACGGCAAAACCCAGTGAGAAAGCCAAAACAGTGCGTTACACTTTTTCACCTCTGAGGATCTTCCCAGCACAGTTTAATTGCTGGCTAAAGCTGTTTTTCAGTGGGAAAACAACTGAAAATATTTTATTTCTCCGTGCAGAAGCCACCGGCGCTCGTGAGGAGGCTTTGGGGTCTCTTGCTCGCTCATGCTCTCTCTTCGCACAGCCTGCGGCCGGGAAACGCAACGGGGTGAGAG